TCGGCTATAATATTTTGCATGAATTAGATGACATGTGTACGAAATCATAATACCAGGACCGAACAAACTAAAACAACCATCAATCATCCTACTCATACCTACGTGTATATTTCCCATGCTCAAAGATACGCTTGCGGCCACACAAACATTTGCAGGAAAATACTGAGATAACTAATAGGCGGTTTTCCCTTAGGGTTGGCTGTCGCACGTCACTTCGTACTGCAACGTAGGATAAAAGCTGTTTGTCTTGTCCTGCGTTTTCTTAAAAATATCAAGTTGTGTTTTCTCTTGAGATTAAACCTATCAGAAGATATTTTTGATATCTGGTCCTTCCATCTGAAAATTCTGCCGGAGATGTCCGAAAAGTACGTATGTATGTATGTATAGGGCAGAATGTCGTAAACATTACTGAAGTTAATATATTAAATAGTTTGGATTTCGAACCACATGTATTGAAGCAAGTCTCAATATGAACGTCACTGTTTAGATTTTTTTTTTGTTTCAATGATAGAAAAAAGTAATTAAACTAACTGACTGAAGTGAACCGAGACAAATACGGACTTTATTACTAAATATAATTTTTTGCACGATTGAAGACAATAAATTGTTTTTGACAAGGAAAAAGTTCATGTTTAATGTTAGTTAATGAGCAACATAAGCAACATCATCTGCGCTCTCCGAAGGTGCTGCGCCCTCTAGCTTTACCTCCACATCTGATAGCAATTATTACAATTAAAGTTGTTCAACAGCCATCAAGGGCCATTTATTTCTCTCTAGAATGACGTACAAATGAGCGTTCTTGCTCATTTTGCCTCCTAGAGCGAAACCGGGTGGACGAAGAAAACTACTCGAATTTCCTCACTAACGTTGTTACGACTGAATCGACTTTTCAATTCGATATCCAACGATGCCAAATCGAATTTTGTGACTCGAATGGTTCTTGAGAAACTTCGAAAAAAGCAGCGTCATGTTTAAGTGGATTTTGCAACTCAACAAAAAACCACGCAAATCTAAAACTTCTTGAATTCAAGGATTTTTTGAGAAAACTACCAACATTTTATTATCGATGGTTCACTTGCTAAAAAGGCCATTTATTTCTCTCTAGAATAATGTACAATTGAGCGTTCTTGCTCATTCTGCCTCCGAGAAATGAGCAAAAACGGGACGGAAAACATGAAATTTTGGCATAATCTTGCACCTAAGTGCCTGATATTCAAATTTCACTTTCTGGGTCAAAA